GAAAATCGCAAATGTTGAAGAATTTTAGAAAAACAGTGGAAACTATTGGGCATCGATCTGTTGAGGTCTTCAGGAAAAAAACTTCCGTTGTTTACGGGGGGTTTCGGAAAACAAATTTCCTTCTTCAGGGTTTAAACGTGTTTCTTGCCAATTTTGCGTCGACGAAAAAGTCACGCGTTAAACCCTGCGGCAAGTTTGAAAAATTCGTTTTATTTTCCGAAATCGCCGGAATAAACTGTAAAGTTTTTGAAATGGGCAAGTGCAGATTTCGAGCCTATTAACTCTCATCAGTTGGGAATGCCATATATTCAAAAATCTATATTTTGCTTGAAAACAGTCGTAAGTGTCGAAACGCATCTGAAAAGGGTCTATATGCATTGGAAACTGCAAAGGCTTTTGCGATGCGTCGAAAGATGGTTTTATTAATATTTTAAAGTGTTTTTCTTGATTTTCTCAACTTTAGGATTTTGGCACTTAGACCCTTTAGAAGTTATACTCTTCAATTAGCGATTCCGAAACCTGCACTTTTCATTGTTTCATTGTAAAGTTTTTTCTCGAGAGAACGCATATCTTTGATTATCAAGCGCAGATAATGTGAAAAAACGAAAACAGAATGTAAAGTGAATAATTAAAGAAAAACGTCAAACTAGCAGGACGAAAATCGCGAATGTTGAAGAAATTTTAAAACAGTGGAAAGTATTGAGCATCAGTCTGCTATGGTCTTCAGAAAAAACGTCCGTTGTTGATTACCGGAGTTTCGGAAAATAAATTTCCGTCTTCAGCGTTTAATGCGTGTTTCGATCGACTTTGCGTCGCGGAAAAAATCACGCGCTAAACCCTTAGGAACAAAACTAATTTTCCAAAATCGCCGTGAAAACCTGTAAAGGTTTTTCAAGACCACCCAATTATTTGATTATCAAGCGAAAATAATTCCACAAAAGGAAAAAAAATGGAAAGCGAATAAGTAAGGGAAAACATCAAACCGCTAGAGCACCTGGTCGAATAATATTTCTAATTGTTTCAATAATTACTAAAAAGGGTAATAAAACATTAGGAGCCCCCCTGAGGCACTAAATGAGCTAATATATGCATAGTATTATTTAATCATCCATAAATTATAAATCTTAATCATAAATGAAGTCTTAAGGTTAAAGTTATTCTTATATGACTAGAAGAGGTGCAAATATAGGGGAATAATCATAATAAATTATTAAATAGAATAAATCTAAATAAACTGGTGAAGATTAGAAAAAAGATGTTCTTTCTTTTAGGGCAAAAACAAATTATTTGTCATTTTCAGTTAACTATCGAAAAATTTTTAGAAGTGTCATTATGTTTTTTAGTTATATAATTAAAATTTAAAAATCGAATAATTGCTAATGCAAAATAATGCAAAATAGCGGAAAGAAAATCGCAAATGTTGAACCATTTTAGAAAAACAGTGACAACTATTGGGCATCGGTCTGTTGTGGTCTTCGGAAAAAAAACTTCCGTTGTTGATTACCGGGGAAGAAAATTACTTTTCCAAAATCGAGGTAATGAACATAGGCTGATACCTAAAATTTCGTCAATATTTGCGATTTCCTTCCAATTTGATGCTTTTTCTTCGAGCATACGCTTCGAAATGATTTGTGCTTCATGATCTAACATGCATTATTTTTCTTGTGTTCAATATTTATGGTGCGTGATGTTTGATGCATGTTAACAATTGTTTTTCGAAAAAAGGCATCAAAAACTTCAGAAATTTTCGATTTCTACTAGTATGTGTTGTGATAATCCTAACTCTACGGTACTAGTTTGAGTCAGTTTTTTTTTTAATGTTTGATGCGAAACACACGAAACTACTGAGCTTTGATTGGCTGTTCTCATGTCATTAACAGGTGACGAATCCAGTAGAATTTCAAGAACAAGTAACGAACCAGATTTTTCCATACAATTGCACAGAAGTGAATCAGCTTATGGTAACGCGCCATTCTTTTAGCACACGAATTAGCTATCAAGAAAGCATGTTTGCTTAACAACATTCCCCAGCTTAGATAACACTTATGTAATCATTAAGCAATAAACACACTCCCCATTACCATGCAACGTTAATTAAGCTGCGAAGCCCAGTGGCGTGTGATTTTCCAGACCAAACCAAACAGAAAAACAGAAAAAAAACTGGCTGCTTACCTGATATTTTTTAATACTATCCAACTGCTCTCTGGTAGGCTCAGTAATGACCGATGTCTGATTGCCAATCGGGGTCGCATTTATATTATTATTGTTCACTATTCTAGCAGGTAACTGAGGAGCAGGAGCTTTGTTTACCAGTCGGCCATCCGATTCAATTTTCAGATGATCCCTCGGGGGCGGCACTGGTTTGGGGGGTACTTGGGGGCTCGCTTGCGCGGAAGGGAGGTGGTTGTAGTGGGCCAGGGCGGCAGAACCATTCAAGGCTGTCTGTGAACAAAAAACAGAAACATATGTACATTTTTTCGGCAAAATTAATAGGGCAGACTGGGACTCTTAGCCATCGAAAATACGAGAAAAAAATGTTTAGTGTTAACCGAATGGTTGGTTAGTGTTAGTAGACCCAACCGAAAACGCCCTTGTTATTTATTGTACATACTTTCCTGACTGTGTTTCAATTCCAAATCAAAATTAATTCCTGGGTTTCAGCCATTTATTGCCTCTATTTATCAATTAAAATACGTAAAAGAGAGACAATAAATGACTGAAACCCAGGAATTAATTTTGACTTTTTATTTATGCAGATGCCACTGATGTGAATCCCCAGGAAATTTTTTGTTACAGTATACCGTAAGAGGGGGTTAGCTGGGAGGCACTCTACCTTTTGTCGAATAAGTTTTTCAAAAAAAATCGGTGATAACAGGGAACAAGCATAAGAAAGAAAACATTAAAATATTCTTATTATATTTTTCTTTCCCGGGTTTCAGACAAAGTGTGAAATAAAAATGTCCGTACCGTTTATTTCATATAACGTTTCGGCGAGACAACAGCGCCATCATCAGATTTAAAATTCCAAACAAACCCATAATTGGGAAACATCAGGTTCGTTTTAGGCTCAGGCTAAATGCTCAATACTTTCCGCTGTTTTAAAATTTCTTCAACATTCGCAATTTTCGTCCTGCTATTTTAATGTTTTTCTCTAATTATTCGCTTTACATTTTGTTTTCGTTTTTTCGAATTATCTGCGCTTGATAATCAAAGATATGCGTGCTCTCGAGAAAAAACTTTACAATGAAACAATAAAAAGCGCAGGTTTCGGAATCGCTAATTGAAGAGTATAACTTCTAAAGGGTGCCGCAATCCTAAAATTGAGAAAATCAAGAAAAACACTTTAAAATATTAATAAAACCATCTTTCGACGCATCGCAAAATCCTTTGCAGTTTCCAATGCATATAGACCCTTTTCAGATGCGTTTCGACACTTACGACTGTTTTCAAGCAAAATATAGATTTTTGAATATTTGGCACTCCCAACTGATGAGAGCTAATAGGCTCGAAAGCTGCACTTGCCCATTTCAAAAACTTTACAGTTTATTACGGCGATTTCGGAAAATAAAACGAATTTTTCAAACTTGCCGCAGGGTTTAACGCGTGACTTTTTCGTCGACGCAAAATTGGCAAGAAACACGTTTAAACCCTGAAGAAGGAAATTTGTTTTCCGAAACCCCCCGTAAACAACGGAAGTTTTTTTCCTGAAGACCTCAACAGATCGATGCCCAATAGTTTCCACTGTTTTTCTAAAATTCTTCAACATTTGCGATTTTCTGCCTGCTACTTTGATGTGTTCTTTAATTATTCGCTTTACATTATATTTTCCTTTTGTGGAATTATTTGCGCTTGGATATCAAAGATGTGTGTGGAATCGAGATAAAAACTTCTGTGTTGAGCACGGGATTTCGAAAATTTGATTTTCTTCTTCAGGGCTTAACCACTTCTTTGCACGAAGCAAAGTTGGAACGAAAGACGCATAAAACGCTGAAGAGGGATATTAATTTTTCGAAACCCCGGTAATCAACAACGGAAGTTTTTTTCCTGAAGACCTCAACAGATCGATGCCCAATAGTTTCCACTGTTTTTCTAAAATTCTTCAACATTTGCGATTTTCTGCCTGCTACTTTGATGT